TATTAAATACTTGATACGTTACAAAATTGGTATTTAATAGGAATGATTGTATAACGGCTTATTTAATGTCATTTATTACTCATAATTATATCATTAAAGCTGAGGCTTCATTCCTTTACCTAGAATTATCTATAAAAGGAAGAAGTATCATCATTTGTAAGGACACGGAATACTATTGAGAATTCATTGAAATACACTACTATTTGCTTTTTTACCATCATTATCAAAAGTATTTTATTTTGTCTCCTGATTATCAGTAACCCGAATTTCTTTTTAGCTTTGATCAAAGACTCAGATTTTTGGTTAAATAGGCGCGAAGCGCGGAAAATTCCCTAGTTCTTAACTATTTTAATACATTACTTCAATTTATCACGAACGAATTAACCGAATTGGGTAAAAAAAAAAAATCATTCACATAATTATGGAAAATGGTTTAGCGAGAAGCGCGGGAATGAGAGGAAGTCATTGTAACTGTTTTACCAGTTTTTCAAAAGTGAGAGAGAATTCTTTTGCTAAAAGAAAGATAACTCCCCAGAGACTGGGGACATACAAGGAAGAAAAACAAACAAAAAAAAACCAAAAAAAAAAAGGACAGAGAAGAAGGGGGGGCCTTTTGTCTCTCAAGAATTTATAAGTGAAAGGAATTTTAATTTTCTCTCTGTCTATCTCACGCTCAGCCGTTGCTGTTCGTCTCCCTGAATGCCTCACCAGTATTCAGGGTAATTATTTTCATTATTCATTTCATTTTTAAGGGAATTATTAGTTTTTGTTGTTTTTCTTTAGAATCTGTTAGAAATCTGCTTAGATTGTAAATCTTCTTGATTTTTATGCAAAGATTGAGATTTGTTGCTCTATCATTGTCGTATGTGGTGCAAGAGATGGGGCTGCTCTTCTCTTAACAAGAGATCTCGGGTTCGAGCCCTAGGTATGGAAAAATCCTTTGTAGGGAGCGCTTCCCCCGAATGGGACCCTACGCAGCGCGAATCCGGATATAGTCGGACTCCAATACGGATACTGCCGGGTGGGAAACTCAAAAAAAAAAAAAAAACGTTTAATACTCCTCTCTTTCATAGAACAGATGCATGTTAAATGCAAGGGCTCTACTAGAAATTCGCGGAAATCCGTCCAAGAATACTGGTCCAAGTCGGTCGGTATATTAGTAAAACCGACCGATATTGTTCTGCTGGTATAAGCATGGTCGGTAATGCATACCGACCGAAATCTAGTAGTGGGGTGGACTAGATGGGTGTTTTTGTAGTGGTATATAATTGATATAGAAGAGGGAAAAAGATTACTACATTTTCATTGAGTATGATTTTCACATTTTTCCGTAGTTTTCTAAATATGTAAATTTTATTCCAAAACTTTTTGGGAAATTGATGTGGAATTCGCACCAAAAATTAGATATATTGACCCTCAAACTTCAAACCTGTGATTCTTGTTGGGATGGAAAGAGCAAATAGGATGAGGAAAATGGTAGAATTTAAGGGATTTTGATCAAAGTTGATGGTAACATTCTTCTAATAATTTTTTGTAGTCAATTGTGGCGACTATTAAGCGGAGGAGCGAGGGAACCAACAGGATGGTATGTGAAATTCTGTACATTTCAATTTCTCAACCATATCCTATTATTTGTATGTATAGTTGTTCATTCCCAGTATATAATTCATGGGAAATTTCACAGGGTTCAGATATAGCAATGTGGTTATTTGAGTTTTGCAGCCTCCTTTCGCAATTTTTAGGTAAGTCTTTATATTTTCCAAATCATTCCTTATCATTTTCTTTCAAGAATTCAATAGTTAAGTATTGCGAGATCACCTCTTGGTCAATTTCAGAAAGAAAGTTCTTTTGGGATGAAGAAACCTGAAAATGTTGCATTTGTTGGGTATAGGCGAGCCTTTTTCAAGGTTGGGGTCAAGTATAGTGGGATTTCTATTGTTATTGTTTCTGGATTTGCTTTATACGATGCATCAGCTAACCTAGAATATGACCCTTAATAGGAAGGTGTGGAGGTCGAGGATTAAGGTTGTAGGTTACTAGGTAGTTGTGCGGGTTTCCGGACGTTTCCAGTGTAATTAGTTGTCTTGTATTCTAATATTGTAGATTTCTATCTTCATGTTGTTCCTTTTGCCTTGTTTTCTTTTATTTTGTTCTCGTTTTTGCTTGTTGCCACTGCTCTTTTCTCATTTTTCCTCGTGCCGAGGGTCTACTGGAAACATCCTCTCCACATTCACTGTAGGGGTAAGGTCTGCATACTATCTCCCCTCCCCAGACCCTATTTATGGGACTATACTGGGTTTGTTGTTGTTGTTGTTGATGCATTTCTTTACTTTTCTTGCAAGATGTAAATGCATAGTGATTTTGTTCACCATTTTAAATTTTCAGACAATGTGAAGGATGTTCTCAACAAGGAAGACTAACTCTCTAGGATTCACTTATTAAAAGAAGCTCCCTTAGCATGCACTTCTATTGTTGTTTTTACTTGAATGAGATTCTCCAAGATGGCTGTAGCTATCAATCCCCAAAATCACGGGTTCAAGCAATTTGTTCGACCTCCAAGATGTAAGCTTCCATCGTTCTCTCAGCTCGATTACAACATTCTTGAATCAACCCAAACAAACCTTACACATTCACTACATCATGTTGCCTTTGAATTCCCCAATATCCACAAAAGCGTTTCCACACCGTGTTTATCCCTCTTCACGAGATCAGACGAAGATATTGACAATAATCCAAGAATTGAAATCATTGGTGGCCGACGAGCTCCTAAAGTGCATGCTTTAGTTGTTGAGGTTGCCATAGCTATGGCTTCTGGAATCAAACCTGAGTTATTATCAAGTGGCCTAGGTGGTGCTTACCTTTTTCGGGCGACAAATGGTAATGCAATAGCAGTGGCAAAACCAGCTGATGAGGAACCTCTAGCTTTGAATAATCCAAAAGGATTTGCAGGTCGGATGCTAGGCCAACCGGGCATGAAACGCTCCATCAAGATAGGTGAAACTGGTGTTCGTGAATCGGCTGCCTATCTTCTTGATCATGATGGATTTGCTGGTGTTCCTCCAACAACATTAGTCAAGATTTCTCATGTTACATTCAATATAAACGATTTGCAATCTGTTTCTGGTTCGACTTATAAAATTGCCTCGCTTCAACGGTTTATGGAACATGATTGTGATGCAGGAGACTTAGGTGCTTCTGGCTTTTCAGTCGCTTCAATTCATCGTATTGGAATTTTGGATATGCGACTTCTGAATCTTGACAGACATGCTGGAAATATTCTGGTGAAGCAAGGGAAAGAACGCTATGCAGTTGGTTCTGCTGAACTTGTACCTATAGATCATGGACTTTGCTTGCCAGAATCACTTGATGATCCATACTTTGAATGGCTACATTGGCCTCAAGCCTCCATACCATTTTCGGAGTCTGAAATGGAGTATATATGTGATCTTGATCCATTTAAGGATGCAGATTTACTAAGAAATGAACTTCCTTCTATTAGAGAATCATCCATTCGGGTTCTTGTGGTATGCACCATTCTCTTAAAACAAGCTGCAACTTCAGGGCTTTGTCTAGCTCAAATCGGAGAAATGATGACTCGGAAATGTTATGGAGGACAGGAAGAATGGAGTGCATTAGAAAAGATATGTTTCAATGCCAGGGTTAACATGGAGAGTAAAATAAAAGAGGATAATATAAGTGTCGGTGAAGAGAAAGAGAAAAATGGAGTTTTTCAATTTGATGATGAAGATGGTGATAGCTCAAATCAAGAAGATGAGGAAACTGATGGTGAAATCTTGCAGGGATCCGCTTTAAAAGTTAAGCCACCGAAAATTCTAAGGTTTTCATCTGTTAGGTCTATGGGTAGATTGGTTAATTCATCAATGTTTGATTATGAAGAAGAATGTGATTTCCTAAACAACACTTCTCACAATTCAGATACCTTAATAGAGGATGATGGTGTTAAGGAAGATGATATCGACGATGAGGAAGATCATAAAGCTGGTGTCCTGTTGAGGAGCATGAGCTTTGGTACAAAAAATTACAAGAATGATAATGGTGAAGGAATTTCTTTTGGTGAAATGAGTAGTGAACAATGGAGCTTATTCTTAGAGTTTTTTGAGAAGCTTTTGCCTGAGGCTTTTGAGGGCAAAAACTGCATGTGTTTGTCTAAGCAAAGATTGGGATCTTCTTGTGAATTCTGAAGAGAATTCTGGTTTATGAGAAGAGAACCACCTGTGTAATTTCAACCAAGTGTAAATTAGCAGTCAAAGTACTCAAAGGTAGAATTTTAGATAGATCTTAGCATGAATGGCAAAGAGATGGGCAAATTTGCCATCCTTTCCATATTAGTCTTCTTGTTTTTTTCTACTTTCTGCAGGAGTTGTTTTCTACTCCTCTGGAGGAGTTGTCCTCTCTTTTTACATTTTTATTGTTCAAAAAATGCAGCCTCCGAATAGTTTGGGAGTGAGGCGTAATTGTTGTTTGTATTCATTGTTTAAAATATAAAGACTCGAAGAAAAAGAAAGACTAGAGAATTCTATGTTTAACATTATGTTTTTTTTTTATACTGTAAATTGTATTGGATGATGAAAAGTTTCAAATAAATTTTATGCCAAATACAAGCAAGTATTTTTGGCTATGTTATATGGATTCAACTATGGGTATGAATCTAATACATAAGTGCAGATAAGTCACAGTATATTTTATGGTAATTTTTTTATTATTATCTTGATGTTGTTACTGCTTGTTTTCTTATTATTTTGCTGTTGATATTGCTGGTTATTACTGCTTTCCTTTTTTTTTTAATCGGAAACAGTCTCTCTACCCTCAACTACACACTACCCTCCCCAGGCCCCACTCATGGGATTGTTGTTGTTGTTGCATATTTTATGATTCGGAGGTTGGATCTATCACCCAATGCCACTGATGCATATAAATAAAGTGATAAACATATTTTTGTGCTGAACCATCATATACAACCAAAAAGTAGAGTCTGCAAATGACAAAGTAAGAACAAACTGTCATTCACTAGAATCAGTACTAAGGATCATAGATGATGGATTTGGAAGATATTATGAGCAAAAAGGATTATTATACATTTGTTGGTTGTGCTTTTCCCTCCTTATGTTTATGCAAGAGGGATGATACATAACAGTGGCAATGCGTAATCATAGGCCTGTCATCGCTATGACTTTGACCTGAAAATGCATCTTCGCGCTGAATCTTCATGGAAATATTTACAAGAATATAAGGACATATGTTCATCCAAGCATGAAGGATGCCCTTTTGGCATTGCTCTCTATGCAAACTCCTCAAGTTTGTCTCTTTGCCTGGGTGGAATGACGTGGAACTCGTTTTTAGAGGCAAATTTTGTTGTGACAATAAATAATTGTCCTCCTCCGGCTGCTATGGATGTAGTACAAGTAAAAACAGCAGGAGACTCCAGAATTTTGAAGAATGAATCCCTTTAGAAGCTGCAAATGTATAGTACATCAGTGCATCAATTTAACATTAAGGAAAATAATTATAACTAACACAGTGACGAAAACACAAGTATGATTTTGCTTTGTGAATAAAGGCACCAGCTGGTTAAAACTAATATGTTCAAAATCAAAACTGAATGAACATATCTATCATTAGAGAAGAAGAAATCCACTTGCTTTAATTCCCCCTCCTTTTCCAGGACTGGTACAAGGGTGGGAAAAAATTGAAGACTGATGAACTGACATGCAAGTTTATCGGCTTCCCTGTTTGAAAAGCAGACTAGATTATTAAGAAAGTACTCACATGAAGATGGCAAGGGTGAAGCTGAAGTAAATCTGTTAGGAGGCTCTGCAACAGAATTACTCTTTGGCAGAGGCTGAACATGAGCATATACTACATTGGGCAATGGACTTGATGCGGCGAGTCCATGTGGCATCGGAGTTGGAGCATGTATTTGCCGGTGTGGCGATGGAGTAATATGAGGTGCATGGACTGGTGCTCGAGCAGGAACCATATGCGGGCGACCCTTCGCCTTTCTTGGATATCTCCCAAAATGACAAGGAGGCTGGGCCTCAGGACTCTTGGGCTTTGCAGGTGTAGGAGCAGGTGCAAGTACTTTAACAGATGCTGGTGCAGGTACGGGTACAGGTGAAACTTTCCTGCTAATAGATCCACCTTTCTCAACTCTTGGAGCGGGTGATATTGCAGGAGCGAGATTTGAATCTCGATTGTGGTGGTGGTGATGGTGAGGTAGAGGAGCTGGAGAAGGTGACGGGCTACCACTATCACCACCTCGAGAGTGCGGTAGAAAAGAGGACAGGCTAACTTGTTTAACCCTTCCAAATACAGTGTTATTGAGGCCAAGGTTGTCGGAATGAGAACCGATGGTCTGGGACAACTGCTTCAACCTTGACCTGGTGGAATTTATCCCAACTGCATAAAGAACTTTGCACTGAACAATAGTGGGAGGATCTACTGTTGAACCTCTTGTATTTGTCAAGCTGATATACAAGTTCTGCATTGTAAAGAGAAAGAACAAAGAAAAATCAGCATGCTAACACAAAAGATGAGTGCTCTTTATCAAGTAATAAACCACCAAAGATGAATGTTTTTCAAGTAATAAACACGTAATAAAAATAAAAAAGCAGCCAACCAGCGCATAACGAAACCAAGAAATCCTCTACCTTGATCAAGGGGATATTGCATTTAGTGCATGTAGATATAAGATATGAAGAAAAAATATGTTTAAGTATGTCCGTGTTTGAAAGGGTCTTTGTTGGAGAGCAGCAGATTGCAAAATTGAGACATTGGAAAACTTTTGCCTTTTGGATAAAGCAATGCATATATATGGATTTACTGAGCCATATTGACGGTTATAACTAGAACTATAGTTTTAGTGACAACTATTTTCGGTGCTCATGAGATTCGCTGAATCAGTATCAAATTTCAAACGCAAACATAACCAAGGCCCCTCATGATCTTAGTCATGTAGACCTTTTTAGAAGAAATGGTAAACAATGATACTCCTTTCCACATAAGTTAGATAGTTTTGCAAGGACCTCTATTTTTCAAACAAGATCAAGTGAATGATTACCGAGGGACAGCACTATCAGATATATATACATCCTAAAACAACCTTCAGTACAGTCATGATCAGGTATAGTCATGGAAAACCATTAAACTTGAAGCAGAAATATGAAAACGAAGTATAGATAGAGGGGTTTCATAATTTAAACAATCTATAGTGCACCCTCTATATACCATTTTACTTTGATATAATTATTTCCCATTCAAATAACTTCCGGCATGAATTAGGAGATTATACCCATATAACAAATAGAAAATGTTAGATTAAGAAGAAAGGCAGAAGTCGTACTACAATAAATCAGTCATACAAGATAAGAAATACAAAGGCTAAATGTGTAAAGAAAGAAAAATAAGCCAGAGGAAAGTAGAGTTGGAAACAGGACCAGAGGTTACAAAGAACTTGCTTAATAACAAAAACAACTTTAAAAGCATGAATAATAATATCAGAGGAAAGAGAAGATATATAAGTCAATGCAGCTAACAGCAACCATAGTCACAGACCTCATATGATGAAAGATGTAACCCTGATTTGAGCTGGCTTGTTAGTTCATGAAAATTATCTTGAATTTCATCAATTGAGAAGTTCAAGGTGAAGTTGAAAAGAATCTGGACTTGCTGCATGAGGAATCCGCTCTGTTTAGGGCTCACAGTAATCCCTCCTCTGAACTTCAGCACATCAAAGGAAAACGGATCGCCAAACAAAGATGCTGTCAAGTGCAGAGCTGATTGGCCAGTAAGCACAGTTTCAAATTCCGACCTGACTAAACTCAGAGCAGTTAGAGAGACCCTTATATTTTTCACTGCAGAATCAACTGCAAAGACAACCTCCGTTATGTTCGGTCCAGCTATATTTTCTAATGATATTATCTCCACCTGTTAGAAGCAGCAAATCAGTTTGAGAGGGAAGAAATGGCAAAAGAAAATTAAGCTAAGGAAAGGAAGAATAATAGAGATAACCTAGAGAGGGATTATTGGACGTACTTTAGTATTGGAAACACTTATTTCATCAAAAATATCATCTGCAAGTTGCACAATATAATCCTTCACAAAGGGAACTGGCTCAAGCATGAAACTGGCAACTATATCATGACCTGGAAAACGCAGACACGAGCACATCGATGTGAAAAGCTGGAAATATATGCAATGAGCAAAAGATCAATTTCAATCATCTATGAAATAGGTATTTGTTATCAAATATAAGTAGGATAGTTAGATAACTAAGACATTTTACAAGAGAAACAAACCAAAAGTCTTAAAGGCTAAAGCAAATAAAACCAGGTTCACATATCTTAATGCTACACGCAGATGAAGTTTCATTTTTATTTTGATACCTGTTTGATAATTTAATTGTTCAATGGCTAAATGTCTATGTTCCCCAGCATACACTTGTTGCTGGATATCAATAAAATTACCTTGACCTGATCAAACGAAAATGTCCAATGGGTGAATACGCAATCCAGACATTGACTCAAGAAATGAAGATAATTACTGGAGAATTAAAATTGTGAAGATAACACCAATTAGAGAAATCAAATGGGCAGGAGATGTGAGGCATTAGGATGCTACTAAGAGTAAATCACGATTTAGAGCTCCAAGTATACTACTACAAAATTATCAATAGACCATCTTATCAAAGCAAAATTATCAATAGACCAAAAGCTCATCCAGTGACAAGAACATATGCAAACATTAAACAACTAGGCCAAACTTCAATTAAGACATGTCTTCTTCTAGAATTTCCAAAGATTTTGCTCGATGTCCAGCACACAAATGAGAAGGGCAAAACTAATTGTCTGCGACCAATGCATAATAATTTCAGAATACCATCAAAAGGAGCCATTTGAAAAGGGCACCTCTGAAGGTTCAGTTGGGTTGTTTAGCTCAAATAAAGGTAATCAGGCTACGGAAGCAAATGAAGCATCAATTTAGAGAAGAACAAGGCACGACAAATGCTAAGATTTTTTGCTCAACCACCATGAGTTCAATGCGTACACTGAAGCAGTTAAAAGTCAATTCATCGTCACATAATGTTCACCTGATAAAGCATGAGAACACCAAATTCCTCAGAATAGCTACACATCCATTATTTAATTTTTCGTTTCCAATTAAACTGTACATTCTTTTCTAACTGAGACACACTAGGTATCAATTCGGTTGTTATTGACCGTACTGATATATTGCCTCTTTTCGTCTTCTTGAGCCGAGGGTCTTTCGGAAACAGCCTCTCTATCCGTCAGGTAGGGATAAGGTCTGCGTACACACTACCCTCCCCATACCCCACTAGTGGGATTTCACTGGTCGTTGTTGTTGTTGTTGTTGTTGTTGTTCACAATAGGTATCTATTCTGATGCTACAGTCAATATGTCAATATAAGGACCAAAATGCGATCCCCATCTGAACTGTATATCAAGTTAGCAGCAAACAATTTTCCTCTTAATTCCACCTCACTAATTGAAAATTCACTTCATTCAAGTAAACTAGAAGAACCCCAAAAATTAAACATAACAAAAACATTTCCTGAACTAAACCAGAAGCTTATGCTAACCCCTCATAAAATGGTAATTCAGATTTCAAACAAGGTACAAAACCAGATTATAAACTCATAATAACAATCTAACAGAAAATTATACCTTAAAACTTTTTTAATAAGTAAGCGGAAAAGATTTAACCTTTATACTTGTTGTCAAGATCCAGATACCTCAGATCTCCATTCTTGAAAAGTGGCAATAAGAAAATAGCAGAAAGCAAAACTCCCATACCAAGCAGCAATACAAATACACATTTAAAACTCAACAACCCCTTTAACCTACTGCATCCCCTGCACCTATCCTCTGCATATTGGTATGTACTCTGTGCATCCAATGAAGTACCTACTGGTTGCTCTTCTTCTCCCTTCCCCATTGGGAACAGTAATAGCAATGTGAGTTTTCTCTCCTTTTCCTAATCTCCATTTCTAAACAAAGAATTCATGGCTTCTTTTTTTTCCCTGTTCTTGGAGAAAATAAAGAGAGAAAATTCCTTTGAAGAGTGGTAATATATGTGTGTGTGTGTGTGTTTCTTGGGTTAGGGTTAGGATGGAAGTAGGAAGTTGGAAGAGTAAAGTTCACTTACTGCAAAGCAACTGTTCTTAGATAGTGAGAAAAGCAGACAGCTTTTGTTGTTTTGCTAAAATGGCGTATTATCAACTCCACAGTTGTTTTTTGGATGTTGTAATAAACTCACGTAAAAACGGAAAAGATTGAAATACACGGAGTACGTATTTTTTTTAATGAGTTATAACAAGGTATAAGGGTGGTATAAATTTTAATATCATTTTAATACTCGGTTTGGTTAGCAAATCATGTATAAGTTATTCCGGTGTTAATTTTAATATCAGGATAACTTATACCTTATAGAATGTGGGGTAATTAGCACCGGTATAACTTATACCTTCTTCTTAGAAATTATGCAATTGTCATTCTTAATACAACATATCAAACAATGAATAAACAACAATCTCAGCATAACTAATCCCAACATAACTTATCCCAATATAACTTATACAGGCATAACTTATACCGGTATAAATCGTATTCCAACCAAACGACCCCTAAAATGAAGTAAAGTTATGAACACTAACACTGCAAAAAGATTTTACACCAATATTGTAGTTTAACATATAGGGTGAGGTGATTAGGCATGATATGACTCTGCTCCAGCTTATCGAGGACATGACTTTCGATAGAAAGGTGTGAATGTCGAAAATTAGGGTGCTGGGTTGATAGATAGTCTAGAGTTTTGCCTTGTCTTACTAGTAGTAGTAGTACTAGTCGGGTACCTTCCTATTACTAGTCCTTTGTTTCTAGACGGTATGTATGTATTAGCAATAGGATTGACAATATTCTTGCAGTTTCATATCCCTGGATCTCTGTCATTATTCGTTGTATTATTTGCTTACACTATCTTATTACATTGCGACACTATCTTATTACATTGATGTTGCTATCTATTGCTCCATTTTTTTTATGTTCTTGAGCCGAGGGTATTTCGGGAACAACCTCTCTACCTTCATAAGTAGGGGTAATGACTGCGTACACACTATCCTCCCCTGTTGTGATTGTAGTTTAACATATGATAATAGGTTATTATTTTTTATTGTATAAATTAATATTTGTCATAAAATTTATCTAATTGTATGCATATTTTTACAATATCAATATGGGAAACTTAAACTTTTTCAAAAAAGGTAAAATTGAGTAACAACTAATCCACAATTTCAAATTTGTTGACCAATAGCAGAAAAAGCAAGTAAATGAACTTTTAGTTTAACCATTATTAACGAGGAGAGAGTTACAAGGGATAAGTGTTTTAAAGTAAATGCCAAGAAAAGCATTCACTTTGCTATACTTAAAATTGGCATTATTATTGGTCTCTAGTATTCAAACGTGGAGCTAGCGTATGGAAAGCATTTTCGGGAGTTTAAGTCTAAATTATACATTCATTTTAAGAAATTCATTTAATATGTATAAATTATTAATTTAAATTTACTAATGAAAAAAAATTAGAACTTGACGCGATCAACAAACTCATACAATGCTAGGACTTGTTACAAGCCAATACGAAAATGAAAGAAAATTACTGAAAGCTGAACTCATGAGCTTTAAATCTTGGCGTCGCCTTTATCAATACTCTCTGTGTTGCTAATATTATTATTAATTTTTTAATACATAATTTTTTATGCGACCATTAAATCACGGGTTCAAACCATGAAATCAACATCAGAACAACCCATTTGAATGTGTCCTTCACCAAATCTTGCATCTATGCAGAATGCTTCGAGCTACGATTTTTACTAACCAAAACACCACAAACATTTCTCACAAAAATAATTTATATACAACACAATTATATATAAAAATGAAAACAAAAATGGAAAAATGGGGGTGGTGGCAAGCGAGGAATGTAGTGACCAAAGGACATGGTTCCATGCCAATGGCACTACCTACAGAACCTGTCAGGGGATAATTGATAAACCGTCGTAAGTCGAAGGAAAACACCAGTGCCCGAGCACCAGCTTCGGACTTGCTCTATCGGCTTAGGGACGAGTCCGAGGGGGAAGAGCCTTTTGCAGCCCGCGAGCCGTCTGTGCTCGAGGAACCGGTGGCATCCGAGAGGGGGAACAATGGAGGCCAATCCCTCTCAAGTTCAGGAGGCCGACGCAGCAGTGTGGGTCGAGAACCCTCAAGACGCTGGTTCTACCCCGCCCGGTGTCATTGACATAATGGGATTGCCTTCGTTGATGAAATCAATGTTTGGTAAAGCTCAAGCAATGAAGGAGCGATCGAATGAGGGGGTCCATGGATCGAACGATCCCCTCCAAAGCTTTTTTGATGGTATGGATTCCACTGCCACGGAGGACACTACCAGATTATGTGACTTAGAAGTCCCGAGGAAAAGTCTATCCTCGGGGGGAGGTGGGTCTAAATCGAGCCCGAGACTGGTCAACCGGTTCCCTGCCCCGAGTGCAGATCCTGGTCGGAAGCAGTTAATTATCATCACTGTTCCGGAGGATGCCCACTTTTCGCACCTATTAGGGTAGCCAGTTACCTTCGGTGGTTGGTAATCGAAGAATAACAGGCAAAAATAAATGAAGTAGATACCCTATGACTGTTCAACGTAGCACAACAAGCGTTGAACCGAGTAAGGTGCTACCAAACCATTTTTATTTTTCAGCTTTGGTTATTGGTGATCTTAATATTTCTTCTCATATTTGCAGGCCTTGGTACTTCACCACGAGACCTTCCTCCGGTACCGAGATAAGCTGAGCCAACTCGAGGTCGAAGTCAAAGAGCTCACTAAGAAGAGAGACATGTACAAACTTCTCAGTGAGAAACATGAAGGAAAGGCTAAGAGACATCAAGTTGAGCTAGACGCTGCTCAGAAAGAACACGCCGACTTGGTGGAATAGGTAAAAGTCTTTGAATTTTGTGACGATGAGCTAGGCATGGTGACTAATAGTCAGAACTAGCAGGTCCAGTAGAAGATTGATCGAACGAGCAGCTCCGGGTCGAGATGAATGTAATCAAGGTTGAGGCAGAAGAGTGGAGAGGAAACTGCCCGGGCGCAATTGGCCTCGGCGAAGGCTCAACTTCAAGTGATGAAGGAAAAGGCTGAGGCATGGTCCTAGAAAATTGAGGAGCTCAAGTCTCAACTGGGCTCGGTTGTTGCCAATCGGGAGACCCTTGCCAAGGAGCTCAAAGCGGCCAAGTTGGCGGCTAAAATAACTAAGGCCGTTGTCGACGAGATGGTAGCCCAGTATAAAGCCAATGCTGAGGCAGCCCAGGACCACTTGAAAGACATTGTTGAGTGTGAGAAGCGGCAGTCGCGAAAAGAGGCCCTCGAAGAGGTTCATGCTCGGGGTTTTGATTTAACGGCCTAGATCGAAAATACTAAGGGGCTCAAGGCCGAGGCTAAGAGGTTGGCTTACCCCGAGGACGAAGAAGACTCTGATGGTCCTGGTGATGAGGCAGATTCCGGTGAGGATCAGGCTACTTAGATGCCTTGTAGATTTTTTTTGTTGAGGCCATTTGGCATTTGTAAAAATCTTTGTCGAGGCCGTTTGCCCTTTGTAAAATCTTGTAATATATATATGCAAGGCTTTTTACCTTCAACAATTTTCAAGCTTTTTTGCTTTTTCTTTTGTAAAGATATCGAATGTCTTAGTACATAATAANAAGCTTTCCCCAAAGTACTTAGAATATTTTAGATTATAATTTACCGAGGGTAGCCTTTTGAACCTATTTAGAAGTTTTGAAGGCCTTATGTTTTGGTTATGGGTCTCGGATGTCTCCAAGCGGTTCTAAGACGACCGTAGCCTTTTGAGTTTGGGTGTTTCCCAATGGGCTTGATACCTCAAGTCATCGGGGCTTACCCAAGACAACTATTCTTGAACAGGGATGGTTGTAGCCTTTTAAGTTCGGGCATTGCCTGATAGGCTTTGTGCCCCCAGGACCCGATATCCTGGGCCGTCCGAGCCTACTTCGGACGACAGTCCCTGAGTGAAGTGGACTTCGGACTTGATGTCTTTAGGGGACCAAATGTAAGAAATAAAATAACAAAAAATTTTAAGGGACCAAATATTTATCCGTAAGGTAGAAACTTCCTTTCATTTGTATGCGTAGTATACAAGGTTATACTTATGTACAAGCCTTGTATCGGGGCTTAGGTGGTCTATGTGGGCACGGTTCTTTTGACCGTTTGTCCCTTATAGTAAATTCTATCGACCGAGCCTAGACTATTCAAGCACAAAGTTTCTTTCCTTGCTAAAATTATTATCCGATGGTGATACACCCCAGTATTAGAGAAGCCTCAGATATTGTTGATGCGATCCTTGGCACCGGTTCATGGTCGGTCTTCAACACTAAGTTAGCACGATCCAATGTTGCCTCGTTAAAAACCTTTCCAGAAAACTCATTTTCGACAAAATCGATCCAAAGGGAAAAGATTGCAACATGTGCTTTCAGGCCTAAAAGTTACATCATTTCTTGAATATCACCTGAAAATGTTCGTCTAACATGTAAATAAAAGAAATGAATGGGATCGTACCTTAGCAGTAGTATCGTTTTAAGTGAGTTATGTTCCAGTTGTTCGATAGTCGCTCACCATTCATTGCTCCGAGTTTGTATGATCCTTTTCTAGTGATCTCGATAATTTGATATGGACCTTTCCAGTTTGGTCCCAATTTCCCTTTGTCGGGTTTCGGGTGCTTAGTGTGACTTTACTTAACACCAAGTCCTCGACATTGAAGTGTCGAAGGTTGGCTCTTCAATTGTAATATCTTTTGATCCGGTTCTTTTAGGCAACCAACCAGATGAGGGCGGCCTAGCGCCTTTCATCTAATAGTCCCAGACTCGTATTTATGGCCTCGTCACTTGACTCTTTGGTCGCATATCGGAATCTGAGACTTGGTTCTCCTACTTCAACCGGTATTAGGGCCTTGGTGTCCTAAACTAACGAGAATGGGGTAGCCCCAGTATTCGACTTAGAGGTCGTCTGATTTGCCCATAGGACTTCGGAAAAGATTTCCTTCCATTTTCCTTTGGCATCGGTCAACCTCTTTTTGAGCTTTTGGAGTATGCTTTTGCTCGTGGACTCCACTTTCCCGTTTCCACTAGGGTGATAGGGCGTCGATAGGTTCCTTTTGA